ATTTTCAAAAAATTTAACATTGCTGATAACTTTTGATTGAGAGAAGATATGGCATTTACATTTGACATGTGCATTACCTGTTTCAAGAGCTTTCCGACTGTATACTCTGGTTTTTGATATTTTTTTTTTCACATGCATGTGCATTACTTGTGACAAGTCCTTTCGGATTGTATTATGGTATTTGACCTCATAACCTTGATCTTGAACTTTGATGTAGTTTTGAGAAGCTTTAATCCTTGCCATAACTGTTATTAATTCAATAATTTATGCCTTTTTGTATAATGCACAGACACAACAGAACACACAAACAAAACAGTTACAATATGCCATAAATAATGGCATCCCATCCACTAAGACACCGATTGCGGAGTACCACAATTCTTTGAATTTGCTTGTTCTCATTAACTGTTCAACCAATTCTTTTGAAGCACTAAAAATCTTTTTTTTTCACTTCGAAGTGAAAGTTGCGGATCTTTCGGATGAGACCTTAAAAACCGAGGCCCCGTGTCAGGGTATGCGTTGGCACGATAAAGATCCCTCACTGCTCAATGGCCCCGAGTGCCGAGTAAAGGTCTAAATTTTGAAGCCTTTCATCGGTATATGGTGACATCTCTAGATGAGTGAAAAATTCTCGACGTAAAACAAAATACAATCAATCAATCAATCAGGTGGTCAAACTGGTTTCTGAAATAAATAATTGGTACAATGTAATTGGATAATTTTAAACAGTATCCATGGAAACAAAAAGGAATTTTATTTTGAATAACTTTTTTTCTCAAATTGTATTTCAAACTACATGTACACAATATTGTAAGTGTCTCTCCAAGATTCTGGTGTTTAAATATCCAAAATAGCTGCCGTTGCCATAGAACTAAAAATGGGTCATTTATTTCTAAAAATTTGACAATATTACACAGTTGGGATCGAGAGGACTTACTTATGCTTCGGCTTGAATAAGCAGTTTTTTGCATTACTTTCTTTTTATGCCCTGTACATAATCGAAGACTCGGGAGCATATAGTTTTTCCTCTGTCCGTCCGTCTGTCTGTTTTTCTGTTTGTCCGCAAAATTTTTAAGCTTGTCCATAACTTTTGATTGATTGGAGCTATGACTTTCATATTTCACAACTGTATTCCTTGTGACAATATCTTTGGGGGAGGGGGGTCTAAAGTTGTGGCCAAGGTTAAGGAATTGGTAAAATTTTGCAAAAGTGGGCCAAATGCCAAGGTCAATGTCAAGAGATAAAATATGATGGTAGCCCCCCCCCCCCCCACATGTAGCTAGGGCTTTCGTACTTCACATGTTTATTTCTTGTGATAAGACCTTTCCATGGGTACCAACAATTTTAACCCTTTGACGTGACTAATCACATGCAAAATTAATGCTACCACTCAAAATGTAGTTTTAATGACAAGCTTGGTCTTTCAAAGCACATATATTTAGACCTTTGCAGTCGTTAAATCGAAATTCCAAAACTTTATTGCACATCGTTGATGTGATGGCCAATGGAGTACGCAGAATAATTTCAAGTTCAATACGACACTCAAAGTACGAAACCAAAACATTCCGATTTTTAACATAAATACGTTAAACAAAAGTGAAATGGGATTTCTTATATATATATATATATATATATATATATATATATATATATATATATATATATATATATATATATATATAGATAGATAGATAGATAGATAGATAGATAGATAGATAGATAGATATAGATATAGATATAGATATATATATATAAAACAGATAATATCTGACCAAGCATTATGAATTCAGTGTTATGTTATCAGAGAACCTTGAAGGGAAAGCTATGGAAGTATAAGGCAGATAAAAATTACATGCTAGAAAATGGAACGAAACATGCATACTGAAATAGTTGGAAGAAAGGGGGGTCTACGTTAAAAAATTGGTCAACAGCTGGTCAATGTGATGCGCTGGAAGAAGTGTACAAGCGTTAAATTCAATTTGATTTGAAGGGGATAAATAACGATTTATGTTTCTGAGAAGATCAATCGAACACGCTGTATACCAATAAAAAGGATGAGTGCACTTAAGCTATGAGAGCTGGGTCCCGGTGTTTTGCGCAAAATAAAATTCCAAAGTTCATAAACTTTATGTTTTATAGGTATTAAACAATGTCTTAAGAGCAGGTTTTGGTATATTATACTACATGAAAGTATTGAATAATGCCGAGCGACACTAGCTTTTGAGACGGGGGTCTAACAGTTTTGTCACATTTCTATTGTTATTCATATGCATACCAGTTTTCAACGACATTGTTTACATCGAGCCGCAACTTGTCCATTGGTCTCATTTGCACAGAATGTGTATTTTGATTTAAACTTCAACATATCCAAAGGACAATGTTGGACAAATTGCGGCTCATATCTAATTTTTTGAAAAAGTCTCCAAACTACGGTCGAATTAGCCACTAAATTAACAGTTCACCGAGTGTCAACGATTGATATTATAATCACTTTACTCACGTGACATTCCACTGTTCGAATTACGCTAAGGCTTTCATTGAGCATTTCATTGTGTTTGTTATTGAAAGTTTCTATTGTGACAGTATCTATCGTACTTTCAACTTCAAACTATGGAAGATTTTTGCGCAAATTTTAATAGGGTTTGAAGATTATATGTCTCTTATTTTACTTTGCATTTTTCATTACGGGTGTTTTGAAAGAATTCTGGTATTGACAGTGTGATTAGTAAGTACATGTACAGGCTCAAGTCGCCTCTGTATAATGGTCTGCAGGGCGAGACATCTTCCCCATCCCTAAACACTAGAATCATTTATTATTTGTGCACCATAAAACTACACAAGCTCTCTCTTCTCCATTTAAATTCGCAGTGCGAAAAAAAATCATATATGTGCTAATGTTTACATTCCACATCCATGCGATTTAAATGACTCCGCCTATTTGCGGATACCTTAAATTCGTAAGTGGTCCCGTTCAAATTTCCGGAATTTAAGGTTTGTATATGTTCTTTTCAATGACATTGTCTGTAATTATAGAAATATGTATGACAAAAAATTCAAGGAATAAATATCAAAAGAATATGCTTGCACAATAATCATAGATTAATTAAGCGATATATTGTAATGTAAAGCTTAAAATGGGTAGCCGAAAAGGTTCCAAATGACGTACTAAAGTGCACTCATTCTTTTCTAAATGTGCATCTAAAACGTTTTCTGCGTTTTGGTCCATAAACATGCTGTAAACATGGTTATATTGAAGGATTGAAATATTGACGATTTCCTTATTTTAGAAAGGAGCATTCTCTGTAAGACCGTTTTGCGGCCTGCAGTTACTTCAAAATTTCAAATATTTTATTATTCATTATTTCATAAATAACTTTTAGAGAGAGTAAAATTTCTTGATATAAAAGAATCAGTGTACGTCTTGCAAGAAAACGTTGACTTTTTCGATGAAAATTCTGAAATCAAAGGACTGGAAAGACTGGATGTCATGAAAATCTGATAAATTATATTAACTCTTGCTAATACATACATTGTATGATGACAAGTCTGCTGGAAATAAAAATGAAATAATCTTCCTATTCCATATGTTATGCATCTTTAACAACTTTTAAGCTGAAGGCTCAAGTGGGCTTTCTGATCAAGAAGTGTCTGTCTTCTGTAATTTTTTCCCATTATCGACTTCTCAAGAACCAGGTCGATTAACATAGATATCAAATGCAAAAACATGCTTTGATCATTGTTGTAAACTTGGCATACTCTAGTTTGTTTTCGTTGACATTTCATAATTTAAATCACCAACCTTCATTAAAAAAGTTTTTAAAAACAGAAGAAATAAATTATTATTATTGATCTAAGTGTATTCCAACAATGTAAAAAATAATAATAATAATAATAAAAAAGATGTAACAGAGACGTGCGTCTTTAGTTGTGAACTTCTTTTATTCAATTCCAGAATTTGACAGAAAATCAGAGGAGAAGATGTTTTTGTTCGTTTTGTTTTGTTTGTTTGTTTTTTAATTCAGTATCAATTGTTTGTAATATTAAGGACATTGGCAAGGTTCCTGGTTATCGTATAGAATTTTTCAAGAACTTTTGAGTAGGTTTAAATGTACTAAATAGGCTATATTCTGGATCGTTTTACCTACTAATCCAGCATTCTTTTTTAGATTTTGTCAAATTAGTGTTTTTACAATTCTTAATGCATTTCCTATGTAAAATGTTGATAAAAGGGACCTACATAAATTTTCACCATAATATTTCTTCAAAACCCATTTATTTCATACAGTTTTTGTATTGTATACATTATTGTAACTTCATTTCCTATGACTTCTAGATATTTTGGTTGAAAATGTATTTATAGAAAAAAGACATGGATATACCGGCACCGATCATCATTTTTGAGTTGCGTCCCTTAACAGCTAAAATTGGTCAAGTGACTGGTTGATTGTTTTTATCATGTAATTGACTGAATTGATTGAAATACATTGTCATAAAAATATTGACATGGATTTATTTTTAACTTTTATTCGTAATTACTAAATGCTGATTCCTTCACACGACCTAAGAACTGTTCTCAGTCGGCATGGTCGACCTACCTTTCAGCATATGTCACATCTTTGCCCTTCCCAGCATACTGAACATAACTATGGTAAATGACGACCTGTTTGCTCTTTGTCCCTGAATACAATGTACAACAAAGCCATTACTACTTTTCTTTCTTGCTGTATAGAAGATTCTACCCGTTGAAGGAAGTACACGTGCTTTTGTTTACCTCTATAACATACGCTTTACTGGTTTTCACCGCTTAGAGAATTCTACACGGGAAATCACTCTCAATCACTATTTTACAAGTGAAAAAACCCATGTATTAAACCTTTTTTCTCCGGAAAGCCCTGACTTGCCAATGTCCTTAAAGAACGAGTTTCAACAAAAGAAAAATTCTATCCCTGATATGTAGTCGGGCTCGATGTTTCCTTTAGCAGTTACACCGGATGTCAGAATTTAATCTCGACGAAACCGCGTGAAAATGTAATACGTCTGAAAATAATGTTTGATTTTAGAGTGGTTTTAATCTTGCCATTCCTTTTTATTGCAGTTTTCATCAATTTAATAGCTTTTAAAACTTTTATCTTTACATCGATATCCATTTTATGTGCGAGTGTATTGTTCGAAAGATGGTCGTCGAGTGGTTGGATTCGCGCGGATAAGAGACTGCAAAAGAAACAAAAAAGTGGCGAAAAGGAAAGATTCTCGGTTACGAATGGTGGTTTTTCAAACATGTTTTTCAACAGGTCATTCCAAGATAAATCAAAAGTGAACAAATCAACTACCAGATCGCCATGGAAAGTTGGATCAAGTTCGCCGCCGCTGGACAACAGAATTCGAAATCGTAATGCCGTTTCAAGAAACCATTCGTTTGCTGGTAGGAGGTCAGATTTTAATAATTCAAAGATCACGGACAGTCGCTTAACATCCATTCCTTTTCTACCTACCGTGAGAAAAGCTCTTGGTCTCGATAATGTATCCAGAAGGTATTGTAATTTATTATCATAGCTCATGTCATTGTCTAATACATGGAAAAATTATTGTATCTTACTGCCAAAACAAGAAATTTCAACATTTCATAGATTAGTTTATAAACTTTGAGACTTTTATATCATTAATGCAAGGTCTCCTGCGAACATTCAACAACCTTAATGTTCCTTTTAGCCCTCTTACAAAAACTCCAGAAGTTGCAGCAGCCTATCCGGAGAGGCCAATGGCTGGCTTTCTACCTGCAGTTAGACTGGGAAGACGAGAGCGACCCCTGTTTTCTCCAAGCTCCAGAACTTTAGGGAGAAGCCCAAACACAGTGAAGATAGCTCCTCCTAATGCAAGAAGAATTAATAATGCAAGGTCTAAAATGTTCATTTTAGCAGATAGATTTTTGTTTACTCACTCATTGATTTTTTTCTTTTGAAATATGAAATTCAAGTTTTCCACTTAAAAATAAATTCACACATAGTTATGTTTGAAAACACTTCTCTGGTGAACACTTTTACGTGCAAGAATTTACAAGTGGTAACTGTGTATGGCATATATTTCAGATTATTCCAAGTAAAAAATGAAAATGCAAAGACTACACCAAACACACAAGCTGTGTTGTCGGCCTTAAAAGAGAAAAGGTAAGTTATAGAGTGCTGTCTCGGTGATTGGGAGGCCATCATGGTCAATGGGACTATGGCACAACTGTCAAAGTTTTTAATGGGCCATTTTGAAAATGAATGGGCCATCTATGTATTCTGATGGGCCATTTTAAGAAAAAAATGAAATGATAAACAAATGTCAAATACAAAAAGAAACATATTTCTTCATTAACCAAATTTTATTTTCATGTATGCACTGTAGCACATTTAAAGGAACCTGCAAACAATATGATTTTCTTGTATATTAGATCAATAACATCAAAATTTCAACATCAACATTGAAAATGAGTGAGGTAATGTACCTTTGTTGTCCTATATAAAGCCGGGTTTTAATCAATGAGATTTGGATGTAGAAAAATCACTGATGTGCATAATCTTATAAGAATTTCAAGTTGACTTTTTTACCCCAGGTTGTAAGTCTCTAATCCTGCCGAGGGGAACCATAAATTTGATATTTCCCGTCATTTCCCAAGTACCCATTCCATAACTGTTTTATTATACTGAAACAATCATGGGAGATTTATAAAACTAGAGACTCAGGCATTTTTTAAAACAATATAGAGGCATTTAAATAATCACAAATGCATGTGATTAAAAATATTGTAAGATAAATAATACCTCAATACTGAGGAAAATAAAATTATCAAAAAATATATAATAATTTCACTGACACTTTGAAGGATTATCGTTGTCTTCATTTTGCTAGAATTCCAGTATGAATTTGACATCGCATGTCGAAATGTTTTGACGTCATAGTTACATTTCTATTAACATTACTTCACAGACTCAAGATTCCTTGAACACTCCGCCCACTGTTCATTTGAATTGGTTAAAATATTAATAAATATTCATGAGGGAGTAGTCCCAGGGAGTAGCTCTGATTTTTCAGGGAGTAGTCCTCAGATTAGGGAAATAGTATCTTCTCAGGGAAATAGACAGTTTTATGGTATAAATTTTATATAGAGTAATAACAGTAGAGGTATAATAATATATGATAAAGCGCACTACTATTATCGAATACAGGGACTTATTATATCAGATGATATGTCAAACACATTTAATAATCAATGTAAAACATTACATGAAATCTAGTTCAGGTAAACAAGTTCATTATTACATGTAAATGGTGCTAGGACTAAATTTAGATATTTGGATTGAAGCAAGATAAGAATTGCTTTTTTAATACATGTATTGACCAGTTTTACATTGTTTCTTTAAGGTGAACTTGAAAATGAAAGAGCTGTGTTCTTTTTATACATAAAATGGCCCTGTCCTTATTCCAATTAATTGACTATCACCCTCTGTCCCATTTCTAACATCAGTATAAAGTAAGGAATTAATGCTTTTATTTCTAATATCAAATTTTCTTCTATTGAGAGTCCAGGTATTGAAATACAGGGTTTGTGAAATTGCGATGTTCTTGCAGTCTTCGACAAATCCCGGGAGTCCGAAGCCCGGGACCTGGTAAAATTGGAAGCGGGCATGTGGAAATTGCATACTTACAAGCCCGAAAGGCATGTAAATTCTGAGGCCTAAGCCTTCGTATTATCAAATTAAATAATACCAATAACATTAAATGTACTTAAAAGTCTGATTTTTCATCTAAAGTGGAGCATCAAATAAAATTTTAACGATAGTTTATTCTACCGAGGTTTCCAAGGAACTCTTTTGCAAAGGAGACACAAAAAGTGTACAGGTTGAAAACAGTATTAATGGCGAGACAATAGATCGATAGAAATGGATTTTCGGATCATTTCCTTGCCATGAAAAGGCAAATAAGAATAAAATTACTTGATAAAATTCTGGGCATGTACCATATTTGGCTGAATATGATACACACTTTTTTTCCAAAATAATTTTCTGTGAGAAAGGGGTGCGTATTTTACACCACAATGGGATTTTGATAGGTTTTTCTTTCATGTGAAACATGGCTATCATACGCACATACCGTAGTATTATCTAGGGACTTATGCAATTTCATGCTGTTTATCGCCGTATTTAAAACTTCGGAACTTATTGTTGGAATGTAGGCTTGTTAAAAATGTTATATTTATAACCTTTTGATAGTTAAATTAAATTTAAGAGCAAGTTAAAATTAATTTGAGCTGCATGTTCATCGTCTCTGTGTAGCCACCATTAATGATGTTATTTATAGATGTTGACACATTCCTTTGCCACGTGCTTCCGTAATTATAGTACACATGTACCTAATCAGCCGGACACTTGGTCAAAAAAAGTAATAAGTCATTTTTTTTAATGAAATACAATAAAATAAAATTTATTTTAGGTTTTAAATAACTCAGAGAAAATTCATTTCAACATAAACATTACACACTTGTTAAATTTTGATTTTATTTTTATAACATCAGCTATTTATTTAATTAATTAATTAATTTCAAGTTCAAAAGAGGAAAATCGTAGTCTATGAATACTTTGATGTTGCAATATCGCTTGCCCTGTTAATTTTACATAATTTTCAACATGATTACCTTAAACTAAAATTAAATATGACAACTCTTAAACTTGCAACAATACCTCGTGCTTTGTTGAAATAAAATTATTTCTACAAAGAGTAGTTAGAATACAGCAACGTATAATTTCAATATCACCGTATGCTAAAAAAAATTAATAATAAACTCTGTTAATACTTTAATGCAACATTATCTCGTGCTCTGTTAAAAATAAATAATTTCGTCCAGATTGCCGTGATATGGAAAGTCAAGATTAAGAAATAAAAACGCATTTGAATAAAATATTGTGTTCTGTAAATTTTCGGCACTTTATCTCCGCGCCGATTTTCATAGAAAATTACCGCGATTTTCAAAAGTTCAGAACACCGCTTGGTAAAATTTTCTGCTGCGTATAATACAACCGAAATGCATTTTTTTCCCCAGTTTCAGGCTCAAAAAGGGGGGTGCGTATTTTACACCAATGCGTATTGTATTCGGCCAAATACGGTAAATATTTGTTCAGGCTAGTGTAATAAGTGGTTAAACCTGCCCGAAGGGCATGTACTGAAAAAAAGATTTGGCGAAGACTGTTCTTGTATTTTGCAGAAAACAGATGTATTTGAGTAGGGTACCTTCAGTAAAGAATTAAAATATGAGCATACCTTTCAATCCTAAAAATAAAACATATTTTATAATTTATTAACAGATACATCATTATGTCATATCACATTTTTGATCAGAAGTTGTGCTCTATACGAAATATTGAAAAATAGCTTAAACTTTCGACCATTTTTTGAAGGAATTTTTCAAGGTTATAATGATGTATATCATGATGTCATAATTTATTGACTAGCAAGAAAATTATGTCATTTTCAAAAGATGATCGAACTGATATTTAATGCATTGTCAACTAAGACTGAGCATCTTAATTTTTCAGAAACTCACAGAGCCAGAAAGGCCATAAAGTAAAACTTGCTCTTAGTTCATGTTGATGACCATTTTAACTTGTTGCTAAACAGTTTTGTGTAGTAGATGTGTTTTAATCTTTTATTTTTCAAATTTATTTTCAGTAGGAAAAGAACCATGGAAGGATTGGATGTCACTATATCAGATGTTCAAGGGCAAATGGCAAAGCGAAGGTATGGATGTCAGGATAAAAAGAATTACTGTCCAGGGACTTACCTAAACCTCAAATTTAGGGAGACATAACATCTCTATCAGAGAAATTTAGGGAGAAGATTTTTAATCTAGGGAGACTTTTTAGCATGCATGCATTTAAAATTATATAAGGTACCAAACTAGTCCCCAAATTTAGGGAGACATTACTTCTCCCACAGATAAATTGAGGAAGAAGTATCAAGTTCTGTGGAGATTCTTTAGCGTGTGTGAGATACTGTGGTCATACTAAATTTAAAAAGTTATAAATATATGTCAATATACCTTATAAGCAGAATTTTTAGCGGGGATTCAATTTTGGCATTATTAGCGAGGGTGCTAAGATTGCTAAAATTGAATCTAGCTAAAAATTAATTGCATATTATTTGTAATACATATAGCTTCATTAATGAACATTATTTAATCACTAAAATTTAATCGCTAAAAAATTTAATCGCTAAAAATATATACCCATTTTTAAGGATAAATGGCGAAAAATTATGCCTCGCTTAAGGACAAGTGCACTTAAGCAGTGCTTAATGGGCCCTTTTTCAGTGCCATTTTACTTTAGAATATATTACCAAATTGTTCTTTTTTGGTAATGTACAAAACAATAAAAACTGGAGACCAACACCCTGAGGTTCAAATTGCGGAAGATTCTCACGTGTGGATACCGAAAGGTATTCAATAGGGTCTGTACCTAAAGTTATAAACTAGAAGATATAAAACAGATCACCAACACTTCGTGAGAATGCAGAAGTAAATTTATTTGGTTGACCGGTTTCGACCAGAGACGGTCATCATCAGAACAAATATACATGAAATGATTATAATCATTTCGTGTATATTTGTTCTGATGACGACCGTCTCTGGTCGAAACCGGTCAACCAAATAAATTTACTGCTGCATTCTCACGAAGTGTTGGTGATCTGTTTTATATCTTCTAGTTTTTTTGGTAATGGTTAAACACAAGTGGATATTTCTAATTAAAATTACGTTAAAACATCACCTAAATCAGCATGGATTTGAAACAAATGAAGATTTCTATATGTCTATAGAATCCGGAAAAGTCGTACCAAACCTATTTTGAGTTTCGTTTATTTAAATCAAGGGGAGGAGACATTTAAATCAGACACTTGAATAATCTGATGGTGGATCATTGACGGGCGCGTTTTCCGAATAATGCTTCTTGTGCTATTTTACCTGAGAAAAAAAAATCGAATGAAGTTGTATAGATGCCTGTAGCCATAGTGATCAAACTAAAAAATTTGCACACTTGCATTTGAAATAATACAATAAGTATTAACATTAGTTCCTTTAATTTAAAAAAAAAAAAAAAAAAAAAAGTGTATTTAGGTGGCTTTCAATACAGGTACCATTGTCTTGCTTGAATTTTTAATGTTTGACGCTATTATGTATGATGACATTTTAACGACACTAAACTCTTCTAACTCTCCTGTGTTCCTAAAACCAAATACATACAAACTTTTCTATGTGGCACAACTTCGATATAATAATAAAAAACGTGGCTGTGGCTATCTTTTACAGTGAGCACCTTTGAGGAATGTTTACCTGGGTAGAACTCCCATGACTACCGGTATTTTAAATAATTTATTCCACGGGTGAGTTCAACATAGGTCATACAGGTAAATAGCTATCGCTTGCTACAGGAAAAACATTGAACTTTTCATACGTTTTTAACATTTTAAGTACAAGCCTAATCTTGTACAAATTTCCTACTTACACACAAGTTGTAAAAATGTATAATGCGTTTTTTGTCATTCGCACAAGTTTGTACAACGTTAGGCTGACAGTAAACAAAAGCTTTGAAATGAATGACCGTCCTCGATTTACCATAGAAAATCACGAATGTCGGCTGACCCCTACCACATTTTTAGGTCACCTGAGTCACTCAGGTGACCTATTGCTATCTCTTTTCATCCGTCGTCGGTCGTAAACTTTTGAACATTTTCAGCTTCTTCTCTGGAACCAGTGAACCAATTTCAACCAATTTTGGCATATAGCATCTATGGGTGAAGGGGAACAAAAATTGTGAAATTCGTGGCCCCTGCCCCCCTGGGGCCTGAGGGGTGGGGCCAAAACCATCAAAATTAATGCAATCTTTAAAAATCTTCTTCTTTACTCCTGGACATCAAGCAGTCAAACTGTTGGCATGATTGTAATGAGCATTTAGCCCTCTACCAAAATTGTGAAATTCATGGCCCTAGGGTCAGGGGTTCTGGTGCTAGGGCGGGGCTATATAGATCATATAGTGAAAGTGCATTATTTCTTTGAAAATCTTCTTCTCTACTCCTGGGTATTATTGAAACAAATTGAATACATAGTTATGATGAGCAAGGGTGACTCTACCAAAATTGTGAAATTCATGGCCCCAGGGCCAGGGGTTCTGGTGTTAGGGCGGGGCTATATAGAACATATAGTGAAAGTGCATTATTTCTTTGAAAATCTTCTTCTCTACTCCTGGGTATTATTTAAACAAAATGAATACATAGTTATGATAAGCAAGAGTGACTCTACCAAAATTGTGAAATTCATAGCCCCAGGGTCAGGGGTTCTGGTGTTAGGGTGGGGCTATATAGATCATATAGTGAAAGTGCATTATTTCTTTGAAAATCTTCTTCTCTACTCCTTGGTATTATTGAAACAAATTGAATACATAGTTATGATGAGCAAGGGTGACTCTACCAAAATTGTGAAATTCATGGCCCCAGGGCCAGGGGTTCTGGTGTTAGGGCGGGGCTATATAGAACATATAGTGAAAGTGCATTATTTCTTTGAAAATCTTCTTCTCTACTCCTGGGTATTATTTAAACAAAATGAATACATAGTTATGATAAGCAAGAGTGACTCTACCAAAATTGTGAAATTCATAGCCCCAGGGTCAGGGGTTCTGGTGTTAGGGTGGGGCTATATAGATCATATAGTGAAAGTGCATTATTTCTTTGAAAATCTTCTTCTCTACTCCTTGGTATTATTGAAACAAATTGAATACATAGTTATGATAAGCAAGAGTGACTCTACCAAAATTGTGAAATTCATGGCCCCTGGGTCAGGGGTTCTGGTGCTAGGGTGGGGCTCTTTTGATTATATAATGAAAATGCATTAATTCTCTGAAAATCTTCTTCTCTACTCCTGGTAATTATTTAAACAAATTGAATACATAGTTATGATAAGCAAGAGTAACTCTACCAAAATTGTGAAATTCATAGCCCCTGGGTCAGGGGTTCTGGTGCTAGGGCGGGGCTATATAGATCATATAGTGAAAGTGCATTATTTCTTTGAAAATCTTCTTCTCTACTCCTTGGTATTATTGAAACAAATCGAATACATAGTTATGATGAGCAAGAGTGACTCTACCAAAATTGTGAAATTCATGGCCCCTGGGTCAGGGGTTCTGGTGCTAGGGTGGGGCTATATAGATCATATAGTGAAAGTGCATTATTTCTTTGAAAAGCTTCTTCTCTTCTCCTGGGTATTATTTAAACAAATACATGGTTATGATAAGCAAGGATGCCTTTTCCAAAGGATGACTGCACTTAAGGACATGCGAAAATTGCGACAAAATAAACTTTCAAAACAAGCATTTTTCTTTTCATTGCAAGAATAGCCAACATCCAATCTGCAACTTTATGTAATTACGTTTAATAAAAGTGTGTATTTACGAAGTTCGAATCTGTTTTCAAAGGCAGGGGTCATCACAATTTCTTGAATCTCCGTACGATAATGAGGACGCCCACTTTTTTACTGACTTTATACATAGTCAGCGCATGTTTGTCTATTGTTCTCCGTTTCACAGCAGTTGTATATTTGCATAAATAATAATGTGTCAAAAGGAGATTAATAGACAAACATGCGCTCATGGTTAAAAAGAGAAAAAAACTGCTTCTTCTTACATTCGCTCTCTGTGTTGTAACCAAGGATTGTGACATGTTGAATATTATAATTAACCGCGTGATGTCCTACCTCAGGTAACTTTGTGAATACTAAATTCCGTCACGTGACTTGTAAGGTAGCATGTTTTGTGCTAACTAGGACATTGTGTTCGAACACGTTAAGTCATCTGGCATGGATATACAATGCTTTAATTACATTGACGTGCTCATATTGTTAGTTTCGTTTTGAAACCTTTGTCAGAAGTCTATTTGTGCCATATGGAATGGAGAGGGAGATTGGAAAGAGTGTTCACGTTCTTTTTTCAAACATGTCATTGTTATTTATCAAGTTTAATTTTAGACCCATATTTACAATGTTAGCTCCACCTCTCATGCATATCTAATGTTCAATCAAGGGCAGGTAAGTGTAAATTCACTATATTTGGAAAGCACTAAGGACAAAAAACATTGAATCATTTTATTGTATCACAGTCTAAAATCATTTTGAGATTTAAATTTGGTTCCAAATTGGCAGGATTCTTTCATAAACATACAAAAGTGAATTAAGGTTTAGATATAAAAGCAACAGAAGCAACCGAAAAAGACCCAAAAACAGGCGTTAAGTGCAGTCATCCTTTGTGAATTTCATGACCCCTGGATCAGAGGTTCTGATGTTAGGACGGGACTCTATTTATTATATAGTGAAAATGCATTAATGCTTTAAAAATCTTCTCTGCACCTGGGCATATCAGAGGCAAAAAGAGTCAAAGTTTTAATAAGGAAGGGTATTTTTACCAGATTTTTGAACATCAAGACCATTTGGTCAAGTGTTCTAGTCCAGGCCAGGGCTCTATTAATTTGTATTCTACTGAGAGGAGTTATTCCCCTTTGCCATTTACTTTTGATAATTAATCACCGTAAATAATGTACTTGAAAGGTTAATAGAATAAGAGAATTATGCAAGAATTTTTATTGTATAATACAAAAAGTACTTTCATAGTTTTAATGATCAGGTAGACTTGTCTTATTAAGGTTTTCCATCCCTAATAGGAACTAATTCTCTATCCTTAAATATCAATCACGTATATAATACTCTGATATTAATTCAAAGAACTTTACAGTAGAAAAGGATTTACCAAGTGAAAGTTTCAAAAACGTAATTAACTAAGCAGTATTTAATTAATAGAAATTGCATTGAAGTCTATGGAGACAAGCGATTTTTTTAAAATAAAAATTCAGATAATAAGAATATCAATAACTACTGTGGCGGAAAGATCCATTAAATCATTAGAAATAGAATGACAATTGAAAACAATTTTTTTACCGTATATTTTTTTAAAATTGATTTTTATTACTTAAAAAAAGAGGGAGATAACTCTTCAACAAAGGTCAAGTCATAAATTAGGACACTTCCATTCTTACATGCTAATAGTAATAAATGTAGATTATGTCTAAATATACTGAGTATTCCACCCGTACACATCTGTTATGTATTCAAATTCATTGAATCTGAGGCTATTAGGGATGGAATACCAGTACCTTAAATGTTCATCAAAGACCAAGAGTCTTACTCAGGCCAATGTAAGATATTTCCACAAGTAATCAAAAGAGTACAGAAGCACTGATAGTTTCTTAATATACTGTCTGGTGAGAGTGATAAATGGGGAACAGATTAGAACCTAATTTATGAACTGTTAATGAATACTAGACTAATTATTTTGTTAATCCTGATCACCCTATTTTTCTTGCTTTTGGGCAACAAAAGCTTCACCTTTCAGTTCATTTTGTACTCTATGGATCCTCTAAATTGTTGTATTATACTCAGGTGACCGTTAAGGCCCTTGGGCCTCTTGTATAGCTTTGCTCTTTGTATATTCATGAATTTCAGCTATAAAATTTGTTGAATCTTATGGTTTAGATATCAATTAATGATCTGAGATGAAAAATTATGCTTAGGCCAAAGTTTTTTTTTCTTTTGGTGTACGATTCTGCTGACCCTAATTTTCACCAATCATGAAAATAAAAATAATGTCTTTTTCCGACATATTTTTCCGGATTTTTCTCAGCTGAACTGGTGGGTTTTAAATTTTAGAATGCATCTTTGTCAAATAAGCGCTTATAAATATATGAGACCTTTACAAACATTTAGGTGAACGTAAATAAACACATGTGCAAACCAAAAATGGCGGTTTTGTCATGTAACAAGGTAATTCCTCACTGAAAGCAATGACACACACTTAAAGAACTTTTTCTGCATGGAAAAGTGAATAAAATCTTGAATGCATGATCCCTTTCTCTAATTGCGATGTCTCCATTGGCTAAATTCATACCGTAATATTGGAGAGTGTATGCCCAACCCTGACTGACCTAGCAGACACGGATACACCTATAGATAACAGGGATTTATCAGTGCCTTCTCATGGGCCGAAATTCGGCCTCATTCCCAATTGAAAATGAGTTCAGTTTTTCCCAATTTGGCAGTACTTTTTCCCAATTGGTGAACAATGCTTTTATTTTTAATTATCTTTGAAAAAAGTAAAATTGTCAGATTGTCTGTAATTTTCATCTATTTAACTCATTTAGCAAAGCTACAGTCATAACACATGTTTAAAAACACTGAAAAAACATCGCCAACTTTTAATCTGAATTTCCTCCGTTTTTCTAAAAATTATGATATTGTGTAATTATATAGATTTATTAAGTTATTTCCACCTACTCAATTGATCTGCGAGTGAATGGTAAGGACTTTAGGCATTATTTCAGATAGGAAAATTTATTTTCATTGCATTAATACATATTAAAAGAGGACTTTTAGAAAATGTGTACTTAGTATAATAATTTGCAGGAGGTTTATAATCTCCAGAAACAGATACAATAATGACCTAAATTGAAATCTTATACACACATGTACATGTACTACCCTAAGTTGTATAAATACTTTATACTCATTGAAGTCCATTTTACCTTTATTAGTCTATTATTCATAATTGATCTTGTATCATTGTATGATGAAGAGGGATCATATTTAATTGTGGTTTGGTTGCCCAAATTAGAGTTCATGCTGAAATGTTAAATGAATTACCCCTGAATACATGATTTAAGCAACATTTTAAAAAATTTTCCAATTTCATCAAATAGCCGATAATTTTTTCCCAATTCCCCAAAAATGGTGTTTCCCAAAATAGGCTGATAAATCCATGGATAATAGTGAAGCCAATTTAGCGTTGAGAGATACATCTTAGTTGAAGTAAAGCTGACTGGTATTTCACTGGATAAATTCAATTGTGTATAAAACATTTTGTTAATTTATAGAAGTAATTTTAATTTACAAATCTTTGTAAATTTGATACTCAATTGAGATCAGAGCCCTCTGAATTACTAAGTAAATAATGAGCATTGCCTACTGTGCAGGTACATAACAAAATTTAAAGAAGGACTTGATTGAGAAATTATTTGAACATTAAATTTGATAGCTGCATGATCAAATTATTATAACTTTTATTTCAATGTCAATTACTTTCAATATTGTTAAACAGTATTTTTCTTCAATCTAGATTTAACTTAAATTTGGATCCTTATTTTTAGTTTGTGGGGATACTAAGGTTTATAACACATCACATATCACTGAAGAGCACAAAAAGAAGTTGAACATCATGAACCAAGCACTGATTGATAAACAAAAATCAGAACTAAATGAAAATGACATTCAGTCTAAAGTTAGAAATGAATTAAAATTAAATAAAAAGAGTTATGTGATCTAGACAATAAAACTTAAAAGTACTATTGACGTGTATTATTTTCATTAAAATAAACATTGCTGTTATTTTAAAATGAAATTGTTGAATCCTAAATTATTTTTATTTTTATTTTTCGACCACCCAATGCATTTTTTTGAGACAGAAAATCGTAAACCAAAAAAAATAAAAACTTCGGCCTTAATTTGATTCTTCATTTTTTCACATTTTACCGGGGCCCATAAGTGCACTCGTTCTTTCTACTTATATGGTATATCTTATATACATGAATTTTTCTGTATTACTTTAACATCTCAAGAGTAATCAAAGAGTCAAAAAAAAGTAGAAGATCTTTTAAAAATATACAGTCTCTGGCCTTGTTCCAGATCATTGCTGGTTCTGAATCATTCTGTAATTACATGTATTACAAAAAAATCTCAAGCTACTGAAGTGATTGCAACATATAAACATATTTTCACATTAGAATGGTTACAGAATATAAAGCTACAATGATTTCTATTAAAACCTTATCTTGTTTTCCTGTCATACTTGTTTAATAAAGTGAACTTCAACATGTCAGTCAATTTCACGTTTGAAAGAATTTAGTGCTGGCGAGAAAAGTTGTTTACCACTCAAATCCAAACATATTTTAGCACAAAAATCAAAGTGCATTTGATTGATGTCAATTGAGCAACTTAACTTAATCAGCCTTGTTTTTACATCTTTGAGATCACCAGCTACAGTTTGAGTTTAACAGTAAACTTTGTCTGTATTCATGACATGAGTTCAATCATTTGACAATAAGATCTAAACTCATAACTTTGATGAAGGCTTAGCTTAGAAGAACTTGCAGTATTTTTTGGCACATCTGCAGGGTTCAACCTAAAACTCAAAAGCTCAGGGAGAATTTACTTCTCCCTCAAAGCAGATAAGGAAAATTTTGAAAATCAGAGAGACTTGATATTATCTCAATTTATGGCATTAATCCCCCTTTTTTTAACAAATTTAACAGGAACACTTCCTGACCTTTGGTAGATTTAATTATATTAAAATCATGGTCACTGGGAATAAGGTTTAGCCACCATTGGGATCAAATATTGTTCAAGAATAGCAGGTCCATGTATAATCATATTGCTGATATTGCAGAGTTGATGAAAGACTACCAGAAATCTCAGATAATTTTTAAATTCTCAAACTTAGAACTGTCTGCTTGAAAATTTGGACACAAAAAAGAGATCATATCTGAATTATTTATTGATTTTAATGTGAACAAAACTTAATCTGGTAAAATTAATTTGCTTTTTTACCAAGAAATATGTAAATTTTGATATTAATTTCAGTGTGTATAATTTTCTTTCACATTCTTCTTTTGATTATGAGGCCTATGAAATAGTAAAAAAAATCACAGAAGGCTGAACATTAACTGGTAAGATTGGAAATATGCCCTCATGTTGCATGGATTCAGGTTTGGTTTAGTTATGATCCCTTGAAGCTGGGGTTTGGATACAATACAGGGTCAACATTTTTCATGGGAAACAAGGGAAAAATACCTTTCTAAAATTTTCAGAAAAAAGGCAAAGCCAAGGTTGCTCAGGTGAGTGTTGTGGCCAATGGGTCTCTTGTTTATTTTGTAGGCGTCAAGAAAGCCAGCAATCTAATGCCTCCACCTCTTCTCTCCCCTCTCTGCCTGATAATCTTCCTGACCTTTCCACCCAAGGCTACACTATTCCCCGTCTGAAGACCCCCACCCTCAAACGCACTTTGAACATGACCAATTTATCAGATACAGATTGGGAGGATAATGAAAGAGAGAACAGCCAGAAACGACCTCGCCGGGAAGCTCAGTATAATTCCATTGCTAGCTCACTCAGTTCCATGCGAAGGATTAAGGAGAGACAGGTATGGGCCAATCTGGTCAAGGTAATTGTTAATTAGGGCCCTGCAAGAATTTGCAGGTGCCCGATAGTAATCATTGTCTGTCTGTCCATCTGTTTCATTCTGTCCATCCACAAATTACTTATTATACCCCACTCCGTAGGAGAGGGGGGTATACTGTTTTACCCTTGTGTGTCTGTCTGTCTGTAACAAATTTTGGTCGCAGTTTTCTCAGCAACTCTTATTGCAGATGCTTGAAATTTTAGCACACTCTTTGTTTAGGCATGCCATCTGGTGGGATTTATTTTTGTATGAATCCGATGTCAACTTCCTGTTGATCCGTGCATCTGTCCATACCATACATAACAAATTTTGGTAGCAGTTTTCTCAGCAACTACTCATCGCAGATGCTTGAAATTTTAGCACACCTTTGTTTAGGCATGCCATATGGTGGGATTCATTTTTGTACGAATCTGATGTCAATTTCCTGATTATCACTGTGTCTGTCCATAACTGAACTTGTGTATTCACATCTTAGTGAGCACTGGCTCACAGACTTCTTGTATTTTTCTTCATACTCTTTTAATGATTATCCTATTAAATGTTGATTCTCTTGGCAGTAAGGCATACTTTGATACCAAGTTTGAGTCTGTGTGTCATCCATTTATGAGCTGTGGTAGAAGGATAAATGTAAGAATGAATTGTAAAGAGAGATAACTTTTCCTACTGTAAACATCTGATAGTTGCAATGAATCCCCAGGGATTAATTATATTGCCTGTTGTAGAAGATCCAGAGCCTAATCTTTATCTGTCACATTATCGCAAATCTTGCTTGAAAGTATACACTACGACCGAAATAGTGATGCGTTGAGTGACGACACTGTTGAATCTGACTGAAATACAATTGATTATGACTGACATACCATTGCGAAATCCAACAAAGAATCTGATTGGTGCATTTTGAATAGGTCCGCCCACATTCTCAAATGTATTGCCGAAAACGTGGAATGTTTCCAAGATAGAAAACGGGCAAAAGAGCTTCAGTATTTTCTTTTGGTGAATAAGTGGGACGATGCAATACCTTATTAAATGATTGTGAGTGTTGGTAAACTGTAAAATGGTCTTGCAAATAAAATCTGTGCCAGGTCTGGCAGGAGTTGACTTCATACATCTAGATCTGTACATGTACCCCGGGGCCTAATTCTTCGATTGAAAAACACGGCCGTTTTTCCCGTTTTCTTCTTTAGTACATAAATACTTAGATTCGGTGAATATATTGTTTAATTATTTATTTTTTAACATGGAAGTTTATATGATATTTATTATTTTATCATGAATATATAAATAATATTCGCCGCTATAGTAAAAATTGCGCTGAAAAAAACACAAGATTTCGAATTTTCTTGTTAAGTGCCATGACGTCCGTTAGAATGGGTATGCAGTAGCACACACACATTTGAAATATGGTATTTTTTGATGGTTGTGGCAATTAAACAGTAAACTTTTGAATAATTCCGATGTTTCACATGTGTTTTACCAGCTATGAATATAGACTAGCCCCTAGTATTTTTTTTTTCAATAATAAGTGCTCCGATATCAGCTGGGTATGCTTTACAATAATACCTGAGTTTTCAATTTACTTGGGTTTGCCCATCTTCGCTAGCCAAGGGTTTCCGATCCGAGTAGATTTCGGATCGGAAATCCTTGGTTGGCAAAGATGGGGTTTGCCTAGAGCCCTAGATAGAACGTTCTATCATTAAAATGATATTGTCCTACGGACCCCGTTTGTGGTGAGGGCTTGCCCCGAGACAGTTAGATTATTCTAACTAGGGTTGGCCTATCCATTGTAATAGTTCACTTGTTTACAATCACTAGGGACTAAAACATAGAGAAAAAGATTTTTAGTGCACTGAAAAGTCGCACAGACTATTCAATTTAACGAACACCGAAAATGGAAAATGCCTTCAATTTATTGCAGAGGAAATTGGCAGATACATGTAGGATAACACAGTTTTTGTCATTGAACAATATACATGTACCGTATTTGAAAGGAATATCACATGCTGAAATATGATTTTGTGCTTTGTTTCTTTTTTTAAGTTCAAAAAGTCAACATTATTTTCGACCATCAAACATGGCTATTGGCGAGGCTGTTGGATGCTTTCCAAGTATATGTATACCACATGAGAGTGGGCGGGTCCTAATCAACCAATTAAAACGCATGTTTTATAAAATGTAACCCGTGATTCAAATTGTTCAATTGTCAAATCCAATTGTGTCATCACTCAACACAACACTATTTTGGTCGAAGTGTATACTTTCAAGCGAGATTTGCGATAAGATTCATTAAAACATTTCTCTGCTAGTGATTTTTGGCTTGCATTCACTGAAGTCTGGCATTATATAAATTGGTCACATCATTCTGGTTCAAATACATTTTTTAGTCTTCTACCGGTGAAACTGAAGGGGACTATAGGTTTCCTCTGAGTCTGTCCGTCCGTGTGTCTGTCTAGCTGTCCTTCTGTCTGTCTGTTCCTCTGTCTGTCTGTCAGTCTGCCCCACTTGGTTTTCCGCACCTTTTTTCTAAACGCTTCCAGATATTGAGCTGATTTTTGGTATGTGCATGTATCTTGATGAGTTACAGATCAAGTTTGCATTTCGTTCTGCTTCAATGATTTTTGACGGAATTACGACCTTTTCAATTTTTCAGAGTTTTCTGCAATTTTTTTCTAAACGCTTGCCAGTAGGGGACTAGTATTGCTAATGCAATACTCTCAGAATGCTTGTTTATAAATGTTCTTTCTAAGGAATTGTAATACATGTATATATGACTAAAGTTATGGTTTTACTGCTTTTTGTGAATGCAATGAAAGGATACTGTTAATTTATAGGCCATTAGGCCAAACTGCCGCATTGATCAATTTTATTGACATTGAAAAGGGAAATAACTCAATTTTCTATTTTTTAAGTTGAAAAAAGAAAATTCAGTTATTCCCCATTTCACACATGCTAATATATGGACATTTTTATTAGATGAACAATATGTTTCTTGTTAATTTGGTATTTTATGAGTTAAATTTTAAATAGATGTTTGTAATAACATTATTTTTAGTTGAGTACATAGTATAATTAAGAAAAACAAAAAAAAAGAAGAGAAAAAAAAGAATTGGTTGATATCATTTTGTTGAACTACTGACATGGAAAAAAAATACACCGTCTTCAAAAAAAGCAAAGAACCTGTCTGCCGCATTGAATTTTGAAAGGATGTATTCACTATTACAAAAGAATTGAGCTATAGCAGAGAACAATTTCCTGGAAAAAGTGACGTTTAATAATCAATCTTTCTTTGTTGTTTTCTACCATATATATATATGTCTTTCAAATTTGAATTTTACAACTAAAATTTATTATTTACAACTTCACAATAAACCTCCAAAGTTGGCCGAAACACCATTTTGTCCCTTAAAGCGTTGAATTTTGCATAAATTTTGGCCTAGAAGTCCTTCAGGGCAGACCTGCCCCTAAATAAAATTATGATATTTTGATAGGTTGGGATATAAGGAATAATTTAAGATAGGATTTTTTTAGGGGCACCCCTGCCCTACGGTCGAAATTCACAAAAAACCTATAAAAAATAAGTAAACTTGATTTTGACAATCTGCTTCAAATTTATACCGTTCAATCTTGTAGTCAGAATAGCTCATTTGATATATGCGCTGACTTTTATGTCGTGGGTACTTTATTTTTAAAGTCGGGGGTTCGAATCCACCTGTTGCCACACTTTTATAGTTTTAAATTTTCGCCTTTTCAAAGACTATTTTAATTTTTTTTTATAGTCTTGAGTATGTTTCTTCAATTATCTATCCTTTATGCATTCCCATTCTTGATATAAGAAACACTTTAAGAGAGAGATCAAATCGTAACAATCCAATATACAGTTGTCAGTCAGGCGGAACAAATCTCAGTATAAGCACACTTTCTCCGAGGACAAGAATAACTCACTCTGTGTTACTCGATACAGGTATTCTCGGCAGCATTGAGCTGCGATGAATTTCAATTGTATATATTCCTTAGAATTTAATCACATTGCTTTTATTCTGTCTGTGCTACTAGTGCTTGTCTGGGTTACATGTAGTACATGAATGTTACGTATTGCTTGAATTGTTTGAGCTTAATATATTTAGAATAACATACATGTACTTTTGTTTTCAGTCAATGTTTTATGATCTTAAGTTTTGAAACAGTAGGGCTACATATATCAGTAACTGTACTCCGGGACCTTGGATTTCATTTAGGCCCGTATGATTTGCACGCATTAATTGCATGTTTTTATTATATCCAACTGAAATGTGTTGTAAAATAAATAGCCTAGACATAAAAAACAGAGTTCCAGAGACAGAAGACATTACCATTATGTACAATGAGAAGTAAAGAAAAATATCAATTATTACATTTGGAGATAACAAACTCAGAATATCAATGAAAGTGTTCCTCCTACCTCTACTCACTGAAATAAAGATTTATGAAAAACAAATTGTTTTATGTATTCAGCCTAATGTCATTAATCAGAACGGAAATCGACAAGCTTTTTGTAGAGAAAAAAACCAAGCCCGGCCCTATAGGTCAGATCCCTATTCATATAGAAGTGATCCTTTTTGGCCCGAGAAACTAAAGATTAATTTTTGGGGGCCTTACAGGCAGATGGATAAAGATATTCTGCTATTTAGGAAATATCATTAAATTTCATAATTAGGCCAACTTTGAAAAATTGTTTGGTTCCCCTCTCCTGACCGTCTGGCTCAAAATGGCCCGACTCAAAACTTTTTTTTAACCTCCAGGAATTAAGATATTTTTTTGGGTTATCAAGTCAACACTTTCTCATTCACTTCATGCTAAAGTTCTTAAAGGTTTGACACTAACATTTTTAGCTCACCTGAGCCAAAGGCTCAAGTGAGCTTTTCTGATCAAAATTTGTCCGTTGTCTGTCGTCGTTGTCATTGTTGTTGTTGTTGTAAACTTTTCACATTTTCATCTTCTTCTCAAGAACCACTGGGCCAATTTCAACCAAACTTGCCACAAAGTATCCTTAGGTGAAGGGGATTCAGGTTTGTTCAAATGAAGGGCCATGCCCTCTTTCAAGAGGAGATAATTTAGGAATTAGTGAAAAAGTAATGGCGTCTTTTAAAAATCTTCTTCTCAAGAACCACTTGGCCAGGAAAGATGAAACTCATAGTGAAATATCCTCAGGTGGTGTAGATTCAATTTTGTTCAAATCATGACCCCCAGGGGTAGGGCGGGGCCACAATAGAGGATCAAAGTTTTACATAGAAATATATTGGAAAAACCTTTAAAAATCTTTTTCTCAAGAACAGCAAAGCCGTGGTGAGTCATATTTATATGGAAGCATCCTCAGGTAGTGTAGATTCAAGCTTGTTCAAATCATGACCCCCGGGGGTAGGGCGGGGCCACAATGGAGGATCAAAGTTTTACATAGAAATATATAGGAAAAATCTTTAAAAATCTTCTTCTCAATAACAACAAAGCCCAAATTGGTCATATTTATATGGAAGCATCCTCAGGTAGTGTTGATTCAAGTTTGTTCAAATCATAACCCCCTGGGGTAGGACGGGGCCACAATGGAGGATCAAAGTTTTACATAAAAATATATAGGAAAAACCTTTAAAAATCTTCTTCTCAAGAACAGCAAAGCCATGATGAGTCATATTTATATGAAAACATCCTCAGGTAGTGTAGATTCAAGTTTGTTCAAATCATGACCCCCGGGGGTAGGGCAGGGCCACAATGGAGGATCAAATAATTATTGTCATGTCCGTCTTCCTTCCGTCTGTCCTTCCGTCACACTTTGCATTTAGCTCTGTTCAAAGCTCAGTTTCAAAAAAACTATCCAAGATATTTTTATCAAACTTCATATGCTGATAGATATTGATGAGAGCTATGCAACTGCATCAACATTTTTTGACCTTGACCGTTCCTTTGACCTTGACCTCACTTTTCTTAAATTAGTGTTTAGCTCAGTTTTAAAGATACCATTCAAGATAGTTTAATCAAACTTCATATGTTGATACATACTGATGTAAGCTATTCAACTGCATCAACATTTTTTTTCACCTTGACCTCACTTTTCTTTAATTAGTGTTTAGATAGTGTTAAGATATTTTTAACAAACTTCATATGCTGATACATACTGATGAGAGCTATTCAACTGCATCAGTATTTTTCACCTTGACCTTTCATTTGACCTTGACCTCACTTTTCTGAAATAAGTTTTTAGCTCAGTTTTAAAGATACCATTCAAGATAGTGTTATCAAACTTCATATGCTGATATATACTGATGAGAGCTATTCAACTGCATCAACATTTTTGACCTTGACCTTTCCTTTGACCTTGACCCCACTTTTCTTAAATTAGTGTCAAACTTCATATGCTGATACATACTGATGTAAGCTATTCAACTGCATCAATATTTTTTCACCTTGACCTTTCCTTTGACCCTTTATACACCCTCGGCGGGGCATTCATGTCCTATGGACATATTTCTAGTTTATTCTGGTTCAAATACAGTTTTAATCAAAACATTTTTTTTTATAATTGCCTTATGTGAATGCATCATGGATAGACTGTCAAATCCTTTTTAAATTTAGTTGGATAACACAATCATTCTTTTATATAGGAAATATCTGTACTTGTTACATTTCCTAATACAGTACTTGTTTCATTTCTTAAATTATTTTGATGATTTTCATATTGTTAGAAAAGTATTTTTTTAAGGTTCAGATAAAATTGATTCATAAATATCAGAAAAATAAAGAGAAATCTCATAAAAAAGATTTGAAACTTCCATATTTTTCAAAAGCTGCGTGACTGTATTTATTGATTTAAAAAGTACTGCTTTGTTGGAGATTAAATGAAATAATTGTCTGCAGGCTGTTATGAAAAGGAAAAATGATTCCAAAGAAAACTCTGGCTTGGTAGAAGACAGATCTGGTCAGAACTCACCTGTCACCAAGAAGCCATCTCTACAAAGGTAAATTGATAGAAATGTAGATTTAAAAAAGAAATTTCTCAATGCTCTCAAGCTTGAATGCTCAGATGAGTTAGTGTGGGAAAATTTAGTGTTGGAAATTTTAAGGTCGAGGCATTGCTTCTTGTGAAGAACAGGGAATTCATTTCCTTGCTCTTGTTTGAAAATTACATGTATATTGCCTAAAGCCCATGAATTGAACCTGATGACTTGAATAATGTTATGAATGCAATTTGTTGCTGAGGCTGTTCTGGCCTTTGAATTTTTGAACTCTTCCCAAGAGGCTATTAGATCCAAGTGAAGGGCTAACAAGTTTTACATAGGCATGCACAGCCTTGGAAGAACTTGCCTTTTGATACTCAGGTGACTTTTAATGTCCATGGCCTTATTCAAATTAATGCAGTAATTGCCCATGACATATGGGTTTATTACGGAATTCCATATTTTGGGACAGTACTAATGAAAAAAAAAACTGAAAAAATCTAGTTGAAAATGTGAAGAAGTATAAAATGTTTTATATTATTGAAAACAAGTAGTCATTCATTCATTCATACTTTATTTCCTTCATTTTTAGGATTATGTGAAAGCATAAAGTAAAATATACAATTAAGGATTAACATATGATAAATATAAATACAAAACACAAAATGATATACATATCAAACACAAAATGATATACATATCAAACACAAAATGATATACATATCAAACACAAAATGATATACATATCAAACAAATGGCAAAACAAGTATGATGAAAGGGGAAAAAAGAAAAATAAATTCATTAAATATAGTGTTCCCTGAAATTATTGAGAATATTTTCTTGGCAGAGGGAAAGAGCTGGTAGAGCTAGGAATAAAACCCAATTTTTCTACACTTAGTGTTGTTCTTACTGAGCAAATATCCAAGCCTTCTTTGATCTGTGAATGTTAGTTTACTAGGCCTACAAACTCTTTTCTTTAACTGGATTTCTCTTCTTTTTTAAATATTTTGTATCATACGATACAGAGTAGATGGTGAAATATTTGGTGTTTCAGAAATATCACCAGATTTAACAATTCCTTGATTATACATTACTTAAATATGCTTCCTATTTTCAATAGCAGTAATTTTTAACAGCAGCAGACAACAGGAAGTATATAAAGTAAATGGGAGGCTACCCATGAAAACTTCATTATTCATTAGAAAGTACAGGGTATTGTCATTAAATAAAATAGTAACATTAAATTATATTGTATGCTATTAATCTGACATTTTAGATACCGGTGAGTGAATCATAAAAAAATTCTCAATAATTTCTGGGAATACTATAATAAATAAATAAATAGGATATATATATATATATATATATATATATATATATATATATATATATATATATATATATATATATATATATATATATATATATATATATAAAGCACTAAAAACCAACAACACTGTATATCCTAAGTGTCGGATCTACTAAGTAGGTACAAGGTCACGGATGGAAATTTATATAAAGCACTAAAAATGACCAACGACACCAACAATAATAATTGTCAAATTTTCGGGACGACCTGTCCCTTCCTCAGGACAAAGAAAAAAGTTAAGAAGTCATAAAAACAAAGGAAATAGAGAAACAAAAACAACTAGCACTACTACTAAACACTAAATATTTACAGTATTACATGTTTAATTTGAAGTTTATAAACAGTTGTGAACAAAGAAATCCGGAGCGCTATGAATTGCGTCCGGTCTATCGGGTGTACGCTGGTCAAGTGCGATTTACATAATTGAACAAATTAATTATCGCTTATTAATTACGACCAAGCAGTAAATCGTACATTGTCTTATTCTCTCAAAATAGCGTACCTATACATGATAAAAAGAAATTAAAGATAATATGGAAGGGCAATTTTAAAATATGAATTTGGATATATTATAAATTTGGAAATCTGATAAAAGAAATAAACAAAAATGTAAGCTGTAAATATTTGGGTAGGTTGTTCCAGAATTGCTAATGCGAATTAACGGTAAAGTTTACACTATATAGAGAGAATGAACTTGTTCGTAAATTTGACAATTATTATTGTTCCTGTCGTTGGTCATTTTTAGTGCTTTATATATATATATATATATATATATATATATATATATATATATATATATATATATATATATATATATATATATATATTAGGGATGTCAATGAATATTCGAATATTCATTCGATGAGTTAATATTCAAATATGAATTTAAGATTCGAATATTCGGTGTTTTTTTCAGATTTCATAAAAGAAGTACTGTGATTAATAAATTTTGATTAGAACAGTACTGGATTTATCCCTGTTTAATTTACTAGCGATCAATTTTGATCGCCTGATTTCTTTCACTACTTTCTTATCGAATATATCTACTGAATTATTTTGTTTTGAGTAAGGTATTAAAGAATTATACAGCAATGCTTTATATATAATAACAAAACATATTTTCCTAGTTTTTATTAAATAAATACGATCGGATCTAGAATCGAGGACAAAAAATGAAAACCTTCTTAGAATGTCTAAAAGACCTGTAGAGTAAACTTAACTATAAATTTAATTGATCATTGAATGATTGTCCGATAGAATTAGTCTGTAATTAATATTGTAGAGGGCTCAATTTCGGAATAAATGTGTAAATTTCTCGGGTTGTACATAATCTTGAATTTTATATTCATTATCGGGAAATTAGTTAATTACCTAGGAAAATTGTCTATGGTAATATTTGTTTATATTTTAAAAACATTGTATCAAAGATTATAATCATATCTCTTATTAGGTTGATAAATGTAATTAATTACATGTATTGAAATCTGAACAGTATACGACTATCCTTGGTAAGGCGACTGGTTCCTCGGAGATACTATAAATACACATGTATCATTTGTTAAAATTATACTTTTCTACATTTAAATCAATTATTTATTTCAAACATTGACAAATATCAAATGGAATTCCTTATTGTACATATACAAAAGTCTTCATACAATTTTACTTCCAATATAAGAATAACTACGCTAAACCTTTCATGAGAGTAGCATGATGCATACCGGTATTTAAAATAAACCAGATTTTATTTATTTTATCGAATATTCGAATATATTCGAATACTTTCATTGAATATTTTAATATTAATTATTGACAAAATTGACATCCCTTATATATATATATATATATATATATATATATATATATATATATATATATATATATATATATATATATATATATATATATATATATATATATATATATAATTTGTGAATTTATGGCCACTGTAAATTGCGAGTGTGATCAATTGGCAGATTTGCCACTGAAATTAAAAGGCCCGGTTGTAACATGTGGTAATATATGTATTGGAAGTTGGTCATATTAATTGCCGGAGATCTTTTTTTCAGGTAGAGAATGAACGAAATTACCTCCAAGGGGAAAAAGAAAACTTATTTATTTATTTTTCTTTTTTTCTCATTCATCATGTTTGTTTTGCCATTTATTTGATATACATGTTATTCATATTTATGATATTAAAAATTAAACATAAGACTCCTATGCCATTTCCAGCTTTTCCATGATTTGACAAAACTGTCCAATATTCCTGTTTCAATTATAATTGCAAAAACATTGTGCCAGGGAGATTTCTGGATAGTTTTGAAAGTTGCTAATGAACACAAATGTGAGAAAAGTAATTTACTGATTTAGTGGTTGACATTCCATAGATTAAGACAGAGGACCAATCCCTTTATAGAGAGTGTTGCTGTTTACCAATATTGTACATGTATATATTATTCATTGGGATTTTTATATTTTGTGATAATTAGTCTGTATTTATCACTGGCTCTTAATCTAAGATTTTTTAAACCAGATATGAATATTTTCTCTAAAATGACAATTAAGGGCATTGAGAACGTCATGTTTACTTATTTTAAGTGCATGAAAGTAATTTGCGTGGGATAGGTGTAGACAAATCTTGCTATTTAACATTTAGATTTACAGACTTGAACAGGGTTGTGGATAACCACTTGCCCACTCACAAATGCGAGTAAAATTTGCTGTGGGCGATTCGATATTAAAAATCTGGTCGTCCACATGGTGAACGATTTTTTTCCGGAACGTAGTCACATTTCAGTCTTATATTTTATATACTTTCAGTTTTAAAAGAAAACACTCTACTAACCTAGATTATTTATCTTGCGTAAAAGCATATTTTTGAAACATGTATGTGACTGAGATCAAAATGGCGATTTATCTCAGTTAAATCTGTTGATACGAGAGGAAATGTTTGAGATTGTTCTAATAGAAATATTGTGACAATCGGCTATAGTTGTCACACACTCCATCCGACTATTATTCACAGATAGAATTTGAATTACCGTGTCAAATGCACACATTAAAAGATCGGGATCAAACTTCATCACAGGTTGTATGTCATTTATTATTGAATATGCCCCCTTGTTAAACCATAGACACTTCAGTTGTATAAGGTTAAACACTACAAAATGTACATGATGAAATGAATATTTTATCCGATCAAAGTTTTTAGAAATTAAAGAGAAAACTTGGCAAAAATTCATATACTGCAAATATATTGATACTACGAATAAAAAAGATCAGTTAGAAAAAATTAGGATTTTTTGTTGTTATTTTTAATTTTCATATAATGTGGGCCCGTGGATCACATTGTGGGCCCGTAAAATTTGAAAAGTTAGGAGCCCACATGGCCCCTAAGGATTCAAAAGTTAACCACAACCCTGTTGAAAATGACAAGTTTATAAATGGATTTAAAAATTATGAGAATGGATTTTGTTTTTAGCTCACCTGAGCTGAAGGCTCAAGTGAGCTTTTCTGATTGAAATTTGTCCATTGTCTGTCATCCTTGTAAACTTTTCACATTTTCATCTTCTTCAGAACCACTGGGCCAATTTCAAACAAACTTGGCACAGAGTATCCTTTCGTAAAGTGGATTCAAATTTGTTCAAATGAAGGGCCACACATTTTCCAAGGGGAGATGATTTAGAAAAGTGAAAAATGGGTGCAGTAATTTTAAAAAGTTCTCAAGAACAACAAGGCCAGAAAAGATGAAACATGTGAAAGTTTTTTGGGTAGTGTAGATTCAAGTTTGTTAAAACCATTAACCCAATCGTAGGGCTGTCACGGTTCCAAAATTTTTCGGGTCGGTTCTGTAAATTTTTGGTTCAGTTTCGGGTTTTTGGGTTCAGTTATTTACATCTATTTTAAACCTTATTTTCATGAATTTAACTTGAAAAATCTTTATTTGGTACATTAAATTTACATTGAAAACAAGTCTTAACCATGTGAACGTCTAGACATGGGTGTGTAGAACTACTTGGCCTACTATTAGCCACAACCTGACCATTCATGCTCGTTTTGATAATTATCTAATACTTCCATGACAAGTGTTTTGTCTTGGAATGAAGTAAATTTCAGTTGTGATGTTTATTTATCACTGTTATTGTCATCATTCCTTTGATTTCGACGTCATTTTTTTGTATTGAACAGACTCTTAATATATAAACCAGACCCGAACTGAAATCCGAAAAAATGGAACCTAAACCGAACCGAACAACTTGGACCGCGGTTCTCGGTTATTTCGGGTACTCGTGACAGCCCTACCCCCCGGGGTAGTTTGGGGCCACTATGGGCAATCAAAGTTTTACATTTTATTAAAAAAATAAAATTTATCTTTGTGGGCATACAAAAGGTTTATTAAAAGTAGGTAAAAAGGGGGTTTTAAGTTGTAAACTTTCAGAGTTTTAAGAAGTAAACATCAGGAGTTTTAAGTCTTCCCTATTTTTTCCCCAATTTTATTAAATTGTCACTGAATTTTCCCATTTCAAAAAAAAATGTCATTTCCCAAAATAGGCTGATAAATCCCTGTATTTAGTATATGCCTTATCATATAATAGGATATACCAACAACTGATTTGCTAAACAATAGATTATAAAATCTGAATGTGGATTTCCCTGCCATGATTAAAAATTCCTCCAACATTGTTTTTGACCTGATATATGATAGCATAGATAACATGAATAATATTAATGGACTTCTCAAAAAACAGTACATTATAAACAATCTTCCCAACTGAAATTCCAAGGCTGAAAGGAATTTTAGCTAACTTGAGTCGAAGGCTCAAGTGAGCTTTTCTGATAAAAATTTGTTTGTTCTCTGTAATTGTTGTCGTCATAACATTTCCATCTTCTTCTCCAAAACCAACATGCCAATTTCAACCAAGCTTGGCACAGAGTATCCTTGGGTGAAGTGGATTCAAGTTTGTTTAAATGAAGGGCCACAACTTTTTTCTAGGGGAGATAATTAAGAAATAGTGAAAATTGGGTGGCATCTTCTCAAGAGCTAGTGGGCCATAAAAGATGTGAAAGCTTCCTGACATAACTTAGACACAAATTTGTACAAATCATGACCCCTGGGAGTAGGATGGGGCCATGATATGTACTAAGTTTTAAATTGGAATATAAAAAAAAAATTTCTTCTAGGGAACACTAAAGCCACAATTTGTCATTGTTTATATGAAGGCATCTTCAGGTAGTATAGATTTAAGTGTTCAAATCTTGACCTACAGGGGTAGGGTGGGGCCTCTAGGGCCTATACATAGGAATACATGTACATCAGATAAATCTTTAAAAGTCTTCTGAAAAACAGCAAAGCCATGATTAGTCACTTTTATATGGAATCATCCTCAAGAAGTGTAGATTCAAGTTTGTTCAAATCCTGACACCTGGAGGTAGGATGGGGCCACAATATGTTATCTTAATTTTACATAGGAGTATATAGGGAAAAAATCAACTGATAAAGAAAAGAAGAGCCATAGTTACTTAGGTGAGTGTTTCAGCCCATGGGCCTCTTGTTTTATGTATAGATAAGTATTAGTAGAATTAAAGGAAATAAAAGACCAAAAATCTGTTGCATATTTTTTGTCCTGTCTGAAAATTTGTCATTCTATGTTTCTGTCATGAACCTTAACTCAAGGTCAATTTGGGAAAGTTCAAGGCACAAAAAAGTATGTTAATTCATGCCCTAGAATTGTAACCTTCTAATGACGAAACATTGAAAGTTCAAACTCAACACAAAGATTATTTCTGACATGAGAGTGTGCCTTGATCTTGACATAAAGTCTTTGGGCAAGTTCAAGGTCAGTTGCAGAAAAGTTGAAGGTGTGTCTGACAATGACCCAAGATCATATAAGTAGACTTAAGGTGTTGGACATAAAAATGTAAAAGTCATGTCTAGTTCATAATATAACAGAAACTTTTGAAATTCATACTTCACATAAATATTACCTATGATCTGAGGGTGTGTCATGGACATGACCAAAGGTCTTTGTTCAAGTTATTCTGTCTGATCCATACCCTCAGCTCTGATTGGTTGAGGTGAGGCAACAAAAATTGGATCAAAATTGGAATAGAATTGAAATGAAATTTAACCAGCTGAAGTATACCAAAGTTTAGCCATTGAAATAATACATTTTAAACTTGTAATGAATTGAGTTACAATGATAATGTGACTTACCTGAAACTATTGACAAGAAGGACTAATTGTAAAGTTAAGTTAGACTTTAACCTGATTAGTATAACTATTTTTTTTACAGTATGGAAACTGTCCTGTTGCCAGAAAATAAAGACATCCCTGTTACAAGAGCTCAGAAGACAGAAGATGTCTCAAAAAGTCAGCTGTCTGATTTGGAAACATCAGTTGCAGAGTTTCTTGGACAGTCAGGGGTATTTACCAAAAAACATTGTTAAAAGTAATGTGTATATTTAGCTCACCTGAGCCAAAGGCTCAAGTGAGCTTTTCTGATCACATTTCGTCTGGCATCCAACTGTCTGCTGTCTGTCCATCTGTCTGTAAACGTTTCACATTTTCAACTTCTTCTCAAGAACCAATGGGCCAATTTCAGTCATATTTGCCACAAAGTATCACTGGGTAAAGAGGATTCAAGTTTGTTCAAATGAAGGGCCAAGCCTTCTTCCAAGGGGAATAATTACAAATTACTAAAAAATTAATGGCATCTGTTAAAAATCTCAAGAATCATTAGGCTAGAAAGTATTAAACTTATGTGGAATCATCCTCAGATAGTGTAGATTTAAGTTGGTTCAAATCATGACCCCAGGGCTAGGTTGGGGCCACAATGGGTGATCAAAGTTTTATATAGGAATACGTTGGACAAATCTTTAAGAATCGTCTTTTCAAGAATAGCGAAGCCATGATTGGTCACATTTATATGAAAGCATCCTCAGGTATATAGAATCAAGTTTGTTTAAATCATGAACCCCCCCCCCCCCTTCAGGGGTAGAGTGGGGCCACAATGGGCGATCAAAGTAATACATAGGTAAAATCTTTAAAACTCATCTTAAGAACAGCAAAGCCATGATTGGTCATATTCATATGGAAGCATTTTGAGGTAGTGTAGAATCAAAATTGTTCAAATAATGACCCCTGAGGGTAGTGTGGGGCCACAATAGGCGATAAAAGTTTTAGTGAGGAATAGCATCCTCAGGTTGTGTAGAATCAAGTTTGTTCAAATCATGACCCCCTAGGGGTAGAGAGGGACCACAACAGGAGATCAAAGTTATACAAAGGAATATAAAGGATATACAGTAAAAATTATCTTCTCAAGAACAGCAAAACCATGGTTAGTCATATTAATTCATCAGCATCCTCAGTTAGTGTAGATTCAGGTATGTTCAAATCATGTACCTGGGGGTAGGGCAAGACCACAATAGTAGATCCAACATATAGGAAAAATTCAAATTCTTGAAAAATCTTCTAAAGCCATGATTAGTCAAAGAAATCTGGTAGCATCCTCAGGTAGTGTAAATTCAAGTTTGTTAAATTTATACTGAACTGATTTCTGCTTTTTCTTAGCCAAAGTGCTCAGATGAGCAATGTGGCCTATTGGGCTTTGGTTGTTGTATTTATCATGAACAGTTGCTCGTGATATTGTGTATGTAAAGAGATTAAGAACAGGCTTTTAAATCTGAAAGATTTATTCTTATCTATTTATTGTAGACACACAAATCTGTAAGAACACCTAAACGAGTAGCTCTATCAGAGAAAGTGTCAGCCAGAAAAAGAGACATGTCCCTGTATGCAGGTCTCAATAAGACATATGAAAATGTAAGTGGATCTGCATTCATAACTCACTGTACAATCATGGTGCATATTATCTTACCATGACATGTAACTTCCTAATTAACTGGTAACGATTGATTGTAGTCTCAAACTAAGTGTAATGAAACCAATTTTTCTGCTTAAGTGAAGAAATTGAATATTATAGGGTTATTGAACTTATATTGGTGAATATTGGCACAATTTAGCGGTACAAATGTGCGAGCTTGCGTGTGCATTTGTACAGCCAACGAGTGCCAGTATTCACCAATATAAGTTCAATAACTCCTTTATTATATAGCTTAAACATCTCCCATTGATTTAAATTAATTATTTCAGTTAAAAACTATTTATTAAGAATTAAGAAAAACTAATTATTAAGAATTTTTTAGTATCAGTATTTAAATTAACGTCTGTCCTGTAAGTGTTCAATATTGCATCATTCCAATGACCCTTCCAAGCATTATGATTTGCTTATTGGGGTTTTATTGAGGCTAATACGCAGTGATTCATTTTGATCTCATCCTGTGTAAATTACGCTCAAATTTTGCTCAGGACGCATTATTTCAATAATTGTGCATCCCAATGTACGCAATAAATTTATAGAAGGACATTTATTATTTTAAATTGTTTCCATATAATCTGATTCATAACTTGACCGATTGCATCATTTCCATGTGCTAAGCAATATGCATGAGCGATTATAACAGGCATAAGTTCGCCAACAACAGGTCAGATTCACAATCACTGTTAAATTGCAGTTAACAAGCAATTATCAGAAAATATTTAGAAGTTAGATAGCATAGTTCGATTATGTCTACTGTGGAACATTTCTGAAGCGTATACTATACCTTTGTATTAAAAGATGTAACCTGTGTATTTTAATTTTTTTCCTTAGAAGCCAAGAAGTACATGTATAAAATTTGATCATTTTTCTTTCTGACTATTTTCATTTTGTAAAAAACTTTCTTTACTTCATTGAATAGAACAACTGATCTGCTTCTTTGCTTTTTATGACGAAGATCGTACTTATGATCTAAAAATAGAAACAAGGTGTACAGTTGACAATATATTATTTTTATGCCACAAAACCATGTATTCTTACTTCCAATTCAATAGTCAAAGTATAGACCCATTCACAGCTACAATAAAACATATGCACTTTCGTGCAATACCGTTTTATATTTCACCAGAATTTCCTCTGTAGTATTTAATATGCGGTACCCTTGGTTTTGGATGCATACATTTTGGCATGGACTCATTATTTTCATTAAGAGGGGTCCTTTGGACCCATGATAACCATTTTCAAAATGAATCACTGAATACATACTAAATTATTAATAAATAATTTCAGTTCTGTGTGAAAATAAACACATCTTACTTAGCTGCCACTACCTCTCATAAATTTGCTTTTGAGAGATTGACCAGACAACATTTTTTGTTTACAACAGGGCGTTCGATATTGAACGCTGGTATTCGGAATCTTTTGGGTATACTCATTTACGTAATACAAACTCAATGTTCAATAAAACGCCAAGATAATGAACACTTAAATTCTCTAAACTTTTAGTAGTTTTTCATTATAGACTATTTATTAGCTATATAAGAAAAATGTTGATTATTCATACTTGAATTTTATATAAGGAACAGCATGAGAATTTTGATGTCAGAATTTATGGATTCCTGACAGAGGGGTCCACAACCATGCCATGAAACACTCAAACATCATCAACTAACAGTCACTTAATACAAATGTTATGTCAAGAAGCATGTACAATGTGTAAGCCATACATTCAGATCTAAATAATTTAAATTAGTAAATTTGAATATTAATCGATATTTTCATTGGACTTGACAACAGGTTCCACAAGCTAATGTTATAGCTAAGATAGAGGATTATGATAAGGACAGAAAAGAAGAGGAAAAGAGAGCACAGGAGATGATGGCAGAGATTGGAGAACCAGAGAAAGAAGTAACAGCAGCAGGTGAATAAATGGTTACCACAAAATATACTTATAACAAGTCAGATGTATGTAGGTCAAGGTGTAGCCATTCAGCTGTTTCATATCCAGACTGTTTGTGACAGTTTCTCAAATATCTAGATAGCTATCTTCAGTTATTTACTGTATGTGTACTTAAAAAAGCGGGCTTCATATTTTAGTGAGTTGCTCACAACGAGATCTCATCTAGTGTTTTTACTCTGTTTCTTATTATTATTATTAAGGTCTTCAGCGGAAGACCTTCTTGTTATTCTTAGGTTTCTTTTCCACTATTTTTATTATTGTTTTTTTTTTTTTCTTACCGATTTTGTGCACGCGAGTTCTCGGAAACGGCTCGCTCGATTTTCATGAAACTTACAGGTCTGATACAACATCAAAAAATCTAGATATATATTTTTTTGTTTTGATGACGTCACTTCCGGTTCGGAGATTTCCGCGATTTTGTGGTTTTTAGAGGGTCACTTTATCCGGCAGTGTTCTCAGAAACCACTAAACATAGAAGTATGAAATTTTCAGTGATGATAAAGCAAACTATAGAGAAGTGAATTTTGTATATCAGCATCACCGGAAGTACGAAGCGCCGATGCTCGCTATCGCCCGAAAATAGTCTTATCAAGAATTTCAAAATTTCTAACACCTTTTCTACAATATCTTTTTGCCTGTAAATATTTTGTTAGAACATATAGAACAGAAGTTGTGTAGAATGTCACAATCTTACAAAGGATATCAACAAGAAGGGGCTGGCCCCTAACATTAGGGAGCCAGAGGGGCCAAAAGTGTTTTCCTGATATCTCAAAATGTATTGAGAATTTGTATAACATCATAGAAGCAAAGTTGTTCAAAATGACAAGCAGCAGCTAAGGAGATCATTGAAAGTCGTCAAAATGACTTCACTTCCGGTCAAACCGGAAGTAATGGTAGATGGCTCATTCTTGCTCATTTATCTGTAGATGTCTCTCAATCTCGATCTCATCTCCTTGAAATTTAGATGGAAGACTTATTTGTTGCTTTGCAACAAGCTCGTCTAGTTAAGGTCTTCCGTTTCAGACGGAAGACCTTATAGTGATTCTACTGTTTTTTCTTATTAGGGTCTTCCGTCTTCTGCGGAAGACCCTTCTATTATTCTATTGTTGATTTTTCACTTTTCTTTTTATTATTAGGGTCTTCCGTCTTCTGCGGAAGACCCTTCTATTATTCTATTGTTGATTTTTCACTTTTCTTTTTATTATTAGGGTCTTCCGTCTCCAACGGAAGACCCTTCTATTATTGTATTGTTTCTTTTTCACTTTTATTATTATTATTATTATTCCACTTTTTCTTTACAATTTTTGTGCAGAAGATATCTCGCAAACGGTTCGATCGATTTTCATGAAATTTTCAGGGGTAATGCCTTTTGATATGAAGATGATCCTTTTTTGTTCAAATCCTTAAAATTCACTTCCGGTCAGAAGTTATCGCCCTTTAATCGATTTTCAGATAACCATTTTGTCGACACAAAACTAAAAAACGGCAAAAGCTAGAGCGCTGAAATTTTCAGCGATTATAGACGACATGTTGAAGTTTTGCACCTGGGTTTTCAAATTTTCCGGAAGTACCTAGTATGGAAGCTCAGTAGGGGTCGAAATTTAGGACATGAATCAGGAGTGAATTTTCGAGACATTTTTTATCATACCTCTAAAACTATGGAGATTTTCTAAAAACATATTGAATAGAAATTGTGTAGAATTACAAGATCTTTTATATGATATCAAGAAAAAAGGGCTGACTCATCACATTAGGGGCCGAGAGGGGCCGAAAGTCTTTAGTCAATACCTCTTTAACAATTAAAATTTTGTAATGCATTACAGAAGCAAAAATGTTTATCTCAACAATTTACAACTATATATTATAATATTAACATCATATGTTACATAACTAGGGGCCATTAGGGGCCAGAATGCAAAATCTTTGACGCTTTATGTTTCAAAAGTGAGAAATATTTTGATAAGCAATATTGAACAAAAGATGTTCAAAATAATGTTCTAAACAATATGCAACGTTTCATTTTTCTCCAAACGTCCCCATTAAGGAGTTAAAGGGCCGGCCCCTAAATACTTCTTTTGCTAATATCTCGGAAACGAAAAAGAATTTCTGAATAGTTGTTGTTCGAAAAGTGTTCAAAATCATTAGATCTTTAAATTGGTATGAGGAAAAAGGGGCTGGACCCTCACAATAGGGGCTGAGAGGGGCCGAAAGTCTTTGAACAATAACTCTTTAACGATCAATATTTTGTAATGTATTATTGAAGCAAAAATGTTTATCTCAACAATTTACAACTATAGATTATGATATTCACATCATTTGTTACATAATTAGGGGCCATAAGGGGCCAGAATGCTAAATATTTGACGCTTTATATCTCAAAAGTGGGAAATATTTTGATAAGCAATATTGAACAAAAGATGTCCAAAATAATGTTCTAAACAAGATGCAACCTTTCACTTTTTGCTTAACGTCCCCATTAAGGAGTTGAAGGGCCGGCCCCTATATATTTCTTTTGCGAATATCTCAGAAACGAAAAAAAATTTCTGACTAGTTGTTGAACAAAAAGTGTTCAAAATCATGAGAGCTTTAAAATGATATGAAGAAAAAGGGGCTGGACCCTCACAATAGGGGCTGAGAGGGGTTGAAAGTCTTTGAACAATAACTCTTTAACGATCAATATTTTGTAATGGATTACTGAAGCAAAAATGTTTATCTCAACAATTTACAACTATAGATTATGATATTCACATCATTTGTTACATAATTAGGGGCCATAAGGGACCAGAATGCTAAGTCTTTGACGCTTTATATTCAAAAGTGGGAAATATTTTGATAAGCAATGTTGAACAAAAGATGTCCAAAATAATGTTCTTAACAAGATGCAACCTCTCATTTTTTACTAAACGTCCCCATTAAGTAGTTGAAGGGCCGGCCCCTAAATACTTCTTTTGCGAATATCTCAGAAACGAAAAAGAATTTCTGACTAGTTGTTGAAGAAAAAGTGTTCAAAATTTTGAGAGCTTTAAGATGATATCAAGAAAAAAGGGGCTGACCTCTCACATTAGGGGCCAAGAAGGGCCGAAAATCTTTAATCTATAACCCTTTAATGACCAATATTTTGTTAAACATTATTGAAGCAAAATTTTTCGTCTTAACAATTTATTTATATCATTATATTTAAACGAAAATCTCAGTCAAACTCTTATCTCATCTTATCAAAAATCGGACGGAAGACCCACTCGTTGCTCGCAACGAGATCTCATCTAGTTATTATTCTTTTTTTTTTCCTTACCGATTTTGTGCAGAAGATTTCTCAGAGACCGCTCGATCGATTTGCTTCAAATTTTCAGGGTTAATGTGTTGCTATCTGAAGTTTATAACGCCATGTCAGTTTTTGAAAAATCACTTCCGGTCAGAAGTTATCGCCCTTTGATCAATTTTTAGATAGACCTTGAGTCTGCACAAAAACTCAAGAACGACAAATGCTAGAGTATTGAAACTTTCAGTGGTGATAGAGGACATGTTCTAGATGTGCACCTTGGTTTTCAAATTTTCCGGAAGTGCGAAGTATGGAGGCTCGGTAGGGGTCGAAATTTAGGACGAAATTTTTGAGTGAATTTTAGAGACATTTCTTATAATAACATTTTAAATAAAAATATTTTGTTAAAATATATTGAACAAAAAGTCTTCAAAATCACAAGACCTTTTATTAGATATCAAGAAAAAGGGGCTGACCCCTCAAATTAGGGGCTCAGAAGGGCCAAAAGTCTTTTATCTATAACTCTTTAATGATCAATATTTTGTTATAAATTACTGAAGCAAAAATGCTTATCTTAACATTCTGCAACTATATATTATAAAATTTGGATCATATGTTACGTAATAAGGGGCCATAAGGGGCCAGAATGCTAAATCTTTGACACTTTGTATCTCGAAAAGGAGAAATATTTTGATAAGCAATATTGAACAAAAGATGTTCAGAATAATGTTCTTAACAATATACACCCTTTTAATTTTTGCAAGACATCCCCATTAAGGACTTGGAGGGCTGGCCCCTAAATAGTGTTATTCTATATATCTCTTAAACGAAAGGAAATTTCTGAATAGTTGTTGAACAAAAAGTCTTCAAAATCACAAGACCTTTTATTTGATATCAAGAAAAAGGGGCTGACCCCTCAAATTAGGGGCTCAGAAGGGCCAAAAGTCTTTTATCTATAACTCTTTAATGATCAATATTTTGTTATAAATTACTGAAGCAAAAATGTTCATCTTAACATTCTGCAACTATATATTATAAAATTTTAATCATATGTTATGTAATAAGGGGCCAGAATGCTAAATCTTTGACACTTTGTATCTCGAAAAGGAGAAATATTTTGATAAGCAATATTGAACAAAAGATGTTCAGAATAATGTTCTTAACAATATACACCCTTTTAATTTTTGCAAGACATCCCCATTAAGGACTTGGAGGGCTGGCCACTAAATATTGTTATTCTACATATCTCTTAAACAAAAGGAAATTTCTGAATAGTTGTTGAACAAAAAGTCTTCAAAATCACAAGACCTTTTATTTGATATCAAGAAAAAGGGGCTGACCCCTCAAATTAGGGGCTCAGAAGGGCCAAAAGTCTTTTATCTATAACTCTTTAATGATCAATATTTTGTTATAAATTACTGAAGCAAAAATGTTCATCTTAACATTCTGCAACTATATATTATAAAATTTGGATCATATGTTACGTAATAAGGGGCCAGAATGCTAAATCTTTGACATTTTGTATCTCGAAAAGGAGAAATATTTTGATAAGCAATATTGAACAAAAGATGTTCAGAATAATGTTCTAAACAATATACACCCTTATAATTTTTACAAGACATCCCCATTAAGGACTTGGAGGGCTGGCCCCTAAATATTGTTATTCTATATATCTCTTAAACAAAAGGAAATTTCTGAATAG